GGTGAAGCGGCCATTGTTTGCAGGTCTGCACGGGCTCTTCTCAGGGGTCAGAAGCTCTATTTGGGGGCTGGGTGCAGGTCCCCTGGGCTAACAGTTAGGTACATTGGAAAAGGAAGTCCAGGTGTCGGCCAGGAGAGGAGGTGCTTCTCAGGAGGGAAGAATTGGCTCCGGGTGGGACGTGAGCGTCAGGTCACTGAACATGGTACACCAGGGGTGTGCTCCTTCGAGGTCCCGGGGCAAGAGGGGCCACACCCTGGGTGGACAACAGATCTGCAGACACAGCGAGAGCAGCTGGCTGTGGAGAGGAGCCTGGGGCYTGTTTTTCTTCTGGAAAACCTTCACGAAGCTGTCAACAGTGCAAGGGGACAAAGGAGGCCCAGAGCGGAGGGTACCGTGCAAAGACACCATGAGGGGATTCTGCTCAGCCTCGGGGTCCTGCACGGTCCCCTCTTCCCCACCTGCCCCACCAACAGGGGGCCCCCAACCTGTCCTTGCCCTGGACTCAGGAGGTGGAGCAAGCCTCGACCTAGCAGCCCTGAGACGGGGACTTGGGTGTGATATTTGCTGCTCATCAGCAGGTCCCTCGTGGGCAGGGGAGGCGCACCCCCCCCAGGCTCTCCGAGGACCCCCCAAGTGCAGTGTCAGAGTTGTTTGGAGGGACGTGGGAGGCTCGGGGGATGCACAGCTCCTATTCCTGTTGGTTGAGGGTCGCCCTTGGGGACATGGGACCCCAGCCACCTTGCTTCCTGTGCTCATGGGAAGTGCCCGCTGTGGCTGTTGGTGTGCTGACCCCAGAGGTGGGCTGCTGGGACGGGGCGCCCAGCTGTCAGCTACCGCTGCCAGGGCTAACCCAGGTCTCCTGAGCATGAGGACACCATTCCCGGGGGAAGCTCCCCAGCCGCCCCAGGCCTGCGGGTTGTCCTGGGGCCCAAGAAGGTGCCTAACACCAGGCGGGAATCTGCCACTCGCCCCAGGGAAGCAGGATGTGCGGCTGGCTCCAATGCACTAAGTGGCCTTTCTGGTCCTTCRGAGTCTGAGGTTGAGGTGCGGCATCTCCCTGAGTCACCGTCTATTGTGCACAGACGCTGGCAATTTGCCAGGGCGCGGGACTTTGAGTCCCCCTAAGGAAGGTTTGACGGGGACACGTCCGTCGAGGAAGGACCGTGCCGAGAGGCTGCAGAGCGCGGCCCTCCTGGAGCACAGGGGGAGGGGTGCAGGGAGGTGGGCACAGGGACTGCAGTGGCCTGAGAAAGGGATCAAGAGGAGCCTGAGGAGCACGGCTAACTCCTTGCTCTCCGCCAGGCTGGCCTTGAACTCCTGGGATCCCAAGGATGCAGGACTACAGGTGCATGCTGGACCTCAGTGTGAAAGCCATCTGGAGGGGGAACAGGTGACTTCTCACCTGGGCCGGTGACAGAGGCTGTCAGTGCTCCTGCCCCAGGGCATCTGGGAGAGTCAGGTGATCTGTGCTCCTTGTCTGAGGTGGTTAGGGGACACTGCTCTCTGTCATCCATGGGGCTGGAGACAGGGGACTTGAAATGGTGGGACAGGCAGATGGAGGCTACTTTGGAGAGGCCCCCTGCAGGGAGACCTCTGCTGCCTGCAGGACTTTGCCTTCAGAAAAAAGCCTCCAGGGACTTGTTTGTTACTGCGGCATGGCCTCTCCTGATACAGGAAGGCCTCGTAAGGACCGAGAACACTGCCGCGACAGTAGGGGCATTGCTTTCCTTGGCCTGCGACATTGGTACAGGGACCCCAACTTCACAGGCATGAAACAGAAGAGCAGGAAAGGGAGGGGTTTACCTGAAGTCACCAGAGCTGGCATGTGACAGAACAGGGGAGCCAATCCAGCTGTCTGGTTCCAAAGCCTTTCCCCCCTCTCGGGCTCCCTCCAGGTGTGGCTTGCAGAACACAGGGTGACTTTGGAGATTTGTGGACAAAATGTTAAACTGAATTAACTGGAACTTATTGAAATGTGTTTTGGAGTCAACATCTGAGCTGCACCTCGACCAGCGATTTCAGGGTCATTACTCCTCAGAGGAAAGTTAACAACAACAGCAACAAGACGGGCTGGCTCAGAGCCGCTGAAGGACGGAACAGCCGGGACAGTAAAGGTCCACGTGGGCCAGTGCGGACGGTGGGTGACGRCGAAGGGGAGCTGCCACGGGAGGTGCCATCGTTTGTCACATGGTGTGAGATGACCCGGCTCGCTCTGTGGGTCGAGAGCCGAGCCTGGAGCAGCGGGAGCCTGGCTGGGGAGTCCTGCGCACTACCCACCGGGCCACACTGCCCCGGCCTCTGGGCGGGGGCTGCAAACGCTCTTGTGCACACACCGAGGGCCTTGAGACCCCGGGAGGGGGGCTCCAGCAGGCCCCTCCGTGCCTCTGGCCCATAGCGGACACACTGTTCCCGGTTTTGATTCCCGGGGAAATGTTTCAGTTTCACAAACACAAATATTGACTTTCTTTCCTCAATGTCCACGCTCAGCGTCCAGGTCCGCCCTCCCCGCCCGCCTCCCTTGAACCCGGCTGTCCCTGCAAGCCTACCTGCCACATATTTCTGTGGCTCTGCTAATGAGCGGAGAAGCGACAGAGAGGGGTCTGTGTTCCTCCGGGAGCTCACAGAACTGCCATTCAGAGCCCGGCTGAAAGAGCGACTTCATGCGCCAGCTGCCGCCCGCCCGCTCAGCCTGCACCGGGACTCGGCCCTTCGTTGGGAGGGGGCCTTTGGCCAGGAGACTCGGGCTCACGTGCCCCTCGCCCGTCTTCGGCCTGGCCCCGGGACAGCGCGGTGCCTCCTTTGCCAGGGGTCACCATGGCTGACCCTGATGTGACCCTTGATGGCCGACAGGGCAAYGGGGTGTTCATCATGATTTCCTTCTGCCTTCATTTAATGAGGTTCCCCAAGGCAGCGCCAGGCTGGGTCCCAGGGATGCAGTGGGGAGCGAGGCAGGAAAGAGCCCTGGGGAGGCAGGTGACACGCTTCAACTCAATCTGGGAAAGGGATACACACCCTACGGTGATCTCTGGAGCTCCTGCAGCCCTTCTGGAGAACAGAAGAGGTCAATGTCAACTTGGAGAGGGGAAGGGCCGCAGTGGGCGCTGCTGGCTTTCAGGTTGGGGAGCAGGAAAGGGCAGGGAAAGCTTCCAACATCTGTTTCCTCTAACATGGGCCCAAAGGGGAGCCACCTGGGCTGTCAGCTGGGACCGCTCCCAAACTGGCTGGGCGGCTTCGGCTACCCAGCAGACTTCTCTGCACCTCAGTTTCCCTATCTGACAAACAGGCTCACAGACTCTGCCCTGTGTGTGGACCTCACAGGTTTGTTGGGGAAACAAAGGAGACGGAGGGACAGCGTGAGTGACAAGTGTGGACAGACGGTCACTGTCACTGCTAAGGGTTGTGAGAGCCACTGGCTGCACCCGGCAGTCATTTTCCAACCACTATCTGCTTTTCCCTTTGCTGAGGAACAACTTTCAGAGTGAGTGCTCAGGTCCCCAGGGTCTCGGTTCTGTTCCCTGGAAAGAGGGCAGCCCTTGACCCTGTCTCCAACTCCTGTCCTCTCGTTGCTTCCTCTCCTGGTCCTGTTCCCACTGCACGATGACAAGCTGAGGCTCAGAGAGGGTGTTGCCAGCTCCAGGTCACACAGCCAGTTGGCAGAAGGGGCTTTGAACTGGGTCTTCCAGGTGGCCATGCACGTGTTCTTTCTGCTCCATCCCATCAACTAGAGGATCTGGATGCAAGACAAGGGACCATTCCTGGGTATGTCCCTGTATTTACAATCTGTGCATTAGCTCATTTTTTGATACTACCATGAAATGTCTGAGGCTAAGTTACTTTATAAAGAAAAAAGGTTTATTGAACTCATAGTTCTAGATATTGAGGGGGCCATGTCTGTCAAAGGACTTGCTAGCTGTGTCCCACAGCCGTGCAAGACATCACACGGTGAGAATGGTGTGTGTGCCTGGTCCCGTCTCCCTCCTCTTACACAGCCATAGGATCAACTGGGGGCTCCACCTGATGACCATGTCTAATCCCCATCACCACCCAAGGCCCAACCTCAAAACTCCACAGCTGGACGAGATGGAGTGCCTCATGAACCTTTGGGGATGCTCAGACCACACCCCAAACAGCAGGAGGCTTGATCTCCTCCTCCCCCAGCTGTGCCTGGACAGAGGTGAATTCTCGGATACTCACCAGCTCTGGGGACAGGGCAGGAGGCACAGGGAGTGGGCTCAGGGGAGAGGCCACCAAGCTTCACCTGCGGCGGAGAGCACAGGCGTGGAACCCGGGGACAGCTCCTGCAACTCTTCCCCTCCAATTAACCCTGGGAGGTGGGCACAATATCCCCCTAGCTTCCAGATGAGGAATGTGTGGCACAGAGAGGTGAAGGAACTTGTCTGTGCTCACACAGCGGCTCTGGGTCTCTCCCCTACTGTCTTACACATGCTAAGAGCACAGGTACCTGCTGGTTGCTATTCTGATCTTGAAAGACCATGCCAGGCAGAGTCAGGGGACAGAACGTGCCTGGCATGTGCAAAGCCAGCTATGTCTTAAGGAGAATCCAGGGACAGCTGGGACAGGCAGGGACAGCGAGGCTGCAGGAGGGAAAGTGCTTAAGGAGGAAATTGGGTTCGGAGTTGCGGGTGCAGAAGGGTTTGGCTGTGGGAAGGAGGAGCAGGGCAGGACTGGGGTGAGGCCAGGGTCCCTGGGTGGCAGCTTCAAGCCATCACGCCCAGCCCCTTCAGGGCCACCCCCGCCCACCTGGGATTTCCTGAATTCCAGCTGCGGCTCCGGTTGCTTCTGCAGGCAAAGGAGCCCTTGTGGCTGGGGCGCGGGCCAGGCCTCCTCCTCCGGCACACACACCTCCATTCAGCACTGCCCCGCCCCGGGGACTTGGGGGCTGGGGCTGCTGTCCCCACCTCAGTGGGGTCCGCCAGGCCGGAAGGCTGGGCGGGCAGCGGGGTTGATAAGACGGGGACCCACTGGCCCCCACCACTGTGCCGGCCGCTGTCCCTGCTGCCACAACCATGAGGGTAGTCTCTGGCACCAGCCTCGTGCTCTGCGGCCTGCTGCTGCTGCTCCAGCCTCCACGGAACCTCGGCCTCACCCCCCAGTCCAGAGGTGAGGGGGACACGGGATGGGGACATGGCCAGGGGCCCTGGGGGACAGCCCGGGGCTGGTGGCGAGATGGCAGAGGCTAATGGGACCCAGGATGGGGAGGGGCAGAGAGCCAGGAGTGGCACGAGGTGGGGATGCTGACGAGGTCAGGGCAGGCTGGCCGTCAGGGACTGTGCTGCAGGGCCCCCGGCTCCCAGGGCCCGCGGACGTCTGGAGCTGCGCCAGGCCCAGGGCGGGGCTCGGGCTCTTTGATGAATACAGATCTGGGGGACCAAGAGCCCCTTCCCCTTCTCCCAGCCCCACCCCACTGGGCTCCCACGGGACCACGCCCCTGTGAGTTTCAGCTCTGGGCCCCGCGTCCTAGAATGTGTAGGTCCCCTGTAAAGATGGGGAGACTGAGGCTGGGAGGGGAGGACCTTCCTGAGACCACGGGAGGCAGCCCCAGAGCCACGGGGCTGAGCAGCTGCTGTGTGGTCTGGCCCACTCGCTCTCCCTCTCTGGACCTCCATTTGCCCATGCGCAGCCTTAGCCAGCGGGGAGCAGGGAGCCCAATGCTGGGGGTCTCTAAGGTCTCAGGGACCTCTGAGGCCAGGCTCCCAGTCCAGGGCCCCATGGTTGGGGGTTGGCACTGCCCCACCCAGCTTCCCCCCTTCTTGATTCTGCACCCCCATCTGGAACCCGGGCGTTCTGCAGACGGGGAGGGAGAGTGCTCTCACCAGCTGGCCTGACTGCAGGCCCCGAGGCGGTGTGCGCTGACCTGATTCTCCCCCTGGGCAGATGAGGACTGAGGCTCAGGGAGGCGCTGCCACCTGCTCAGGGCCACGGAGTGGCTGAGCGGGGACCTAAGCCAGGCGCGCCTCACTCCACATGGCCCCGGCTGGTCAGGCTGCCAAGGCGGCCACCAGGAATGCCTGCTCCCTTCCCTGGCCCTGGAGCCCTGAGCCAGCAGGTCACCCGGGGAGGGGAGCYGGGTCTGCGGTGCCCCCTTGCTTTGATGCTCAGGTGCCGGGACCCTGTTGGCCCTCAAGGCGGGGCCCACCCTCAGCGCCCCCTGCCCAGGGTTGAGGAGGGGCTGCTCCTGCTTTTGGCCACCAGCCAGGGCTGAAAAGGAGCGTTCCAAAGGCTGTGAGCACTCAGGTGACGGCTGCGCAGGCTGGATTCCCGCTGCCCGGGCTCCTCTTTGGAGGCTCCTGTCAGGAAGGTGGTCAGCTCCCTGCCCGGGTAGGGAATGGGGTAGGAGACGGAGTGGGCTGCCCGAGGCTGGATGGCTCCTCCGACCTTCCTTCGGGCTCAGAGGTGGCCTTTGCACGCCACATGCCAGAGCGTCCACACACGGAGTGACAACAGGACCTGCCAACCCGAGGCCTCGGGTCTGGACTCTGGCAGCTCTGATGCCCTCTGCTGGGCCTCTGACCTGCGCCCTCTGCCTTCTCCATCCCCTCCCAGGGCACCTCTGTCGGACGCGGCCCGCGGACCTGGTGTTCGTGGTGGACAGCTCCCGCAGCGTGAGGCCCGTGGAGTTTGAGAAGGTGAAGGTGTTCCTGTCCCAGGTCATCGAGTCGCTGGATGTGGGGCCCAATGCCACCCGGGTGGGCGTGGTCAACTACGCCAGCGCCGTCAAGCAGGAGTTCCCGCTGCGGGCCCACAGCTCCAAGGCCGCGCTGCTGCAGGCGGTGCGCCGCATCCAGCCGCTGTCCACAGGCACCATGACCGGCCTGGCCCTCCAGTTCGCCATCACCAAGGCCTTCAGCGAAGCGGAGGGCGGTCGCTCCAGGTCCCCCGACATCAGCAAGGTGCGCGCAGGGGCTCTCGCTGTCTCTGGCACAAGGATGGCCTGGAACTGAGGTCCCCAGCCTTCTCCTCTGGGCTAAGGGCTTCCACTTTCACCCACATGACATTCCTTTGAGGGGGTCCCCTCACAGTGGGGGGAACTGAGGGACGGGGGAAATCATTTGGCAGAGGTCTCCAGCTGAGCGACAGAGCTGGGGTGGGGACCCACCACTCCCCGGCCTTCCCTGCCCAGCAGCTTGCAACCTGGTGAGCATGGGATCGGTTCAGTTCCCGTGACCTTGACCCCAGGCAGCCAAGCTCCTTGCAGGCAGAGACAGGCCAGGTGCACACAGGGAAGGCGTGGACTCTGCCACCTCCTGCATGGGTGCCAGCCCACTCCCTGGTGCCATCTGCACCCCCCTGAGCTGGGTACTTCCTCTCACGGGGCCTCAGTTTCCTCACTTGTGAAATGGGGGTCACGATGCTGCCCTAAGGACCAAGGCCACAGGCATAAGATGCTCAGGAGACGCCTGGCACCCAACCAGCCCCATCACATCAACTAACTTTTATTTGATAATCCTTTGAGGGCAGGGGCTCAGAAGGGGGAACGCACCCCACGTTGCCATCAGCGAGGGCCCCAGGAGGTGCTGAGCGGTTCAAGGCTTTGTACCCAACTGTCATTATTTCAGGGCTCAGCACTGGGCCTGCAGGGTTGGGCCAGGTGTTCTTTCCCCTGATGATGACCCCACAGGCCCCTGCACTTCTCCATTTGCAGCCCTCCTTGGCTTGATCACTGATCACATGCCCAGGGCTTTCACACCTCAGCACAGGTCTGATCCACAGCCCTGCGGGAGGTGGGATCCCCATCTCACAGAAGGCAGCCGAGACATGAGCGCTACAGCAGCTCGCCTGCTCCCGAGCTGTGGCAGCYCAGCCCCAGCCACCACCCGCCTTGGAGAAACGACACAGCGGCCGCCTGTTGGTCTCATTTTGTGGGGCCACTCACAAGCTCTAAGGAGGTGCTGTAGCTGTGGCTGAATGTCTCGGCTGAGGATGCCGTGGCCCCAGGTGGTCCTAATGGAGAGGTGGTGAGGCTGTTGGTGGTGACACCCTGTGGCAGGCACAGCTCCAGAGTTGACTGTTTTCCCCAGGTCAGAGCAGTGACCTGGGGCAGGCAGGGACCCAAGGCAGAGGGCAGCTCTGAGCACAGCTGCAGCTCAGAGGCAGGAGCCCTGCCACCCCCGTGGGGCAGCAATTCTCACCCTGCCGGACTCCCCAGGGTACTGAGGCGAGGTTGGCCAGGGCCAGGTGCGGGGTGGGGGTGGGGGTGGGGACCCGACCCCGCGGAGCTCCAGCCGGCTCAGCACCACCCTCTTCAGGGTGCAGAACCCAGGAACCTTGGGGAAGCCTGGGTCCTTTTCCCCTGTGGGAGGACCATGGACACTCCTGGGAATGGGGAAGACAGGGGCACCACTTCCTTCTGGGTATTGGTTCCTTGGGTGGCTGCGGTGGGGCTCCCTCCCGGATCTCAGGGGTCCACTCCACAGACTGGAGGCAGCAACCCCATTTGTTAGCCTCGGCTGCCCTCCGGTGGCCACAGTGCAGGACCGCACCGTGCTGAGTGCGCTCGCTTGGCCCCCAAAGGGAGCCGCTGGGAATGGCCTGGAGATTCCTTCCACACTGAGA